GCCTGACCCCATCAGTGCCGACCCAACTACACCACCACGCGCATGCCTCGCGGCGGATATGCGCAGCAGCAAGAAGGTTTCGGTCATCCCTTGAGGGTGAGTCTAGCCCTGCTCGCCAGAAAGACCCCCCGCTTCACTACAACCCATGTCTAAACAAATGCTTGTCGAGGAGCGAGGGGAAGTAGGGAGAAGTCGTGGGTGCATATAATTTTTTCCAAAGCTATCACGTACCAGCCTGACGGCACGCCGCACACGTTCGTCTGCTTGTGAAAACCTTCGGGGAGATGGCACCCGGATGCGTGCAAACAACACCGCCGTAGCGCTAGTAAGGCCGCCGTGTGTACTTCATGGGCATCGTACTGGCCGGAGCGATCGCAAAGGGATGCCTCGAAAAACGAAATTGGATGATTCATTTGCTTTTCCGGACCGACCGGGGTCGGAGAGATGGCACCGGTCGGAGAGATGGCACTGGGCGTGCGACAAAAACACCAAGAAAAATCAGTTTAAGAAACGATCGAACCGGTGCCACCTCTCCGACTCTTACGGTAAGCTGCAACGTCTTTCGACCACCACCACCACTACCACCACAATAACACCAACATCAGGTCTACTACGGCTGGCTGTACCTTACCTTGACTGCTACACTCTTTTGCCAAGAGAAGCAAATTACACGTACCGTAGAGTAGAGTCGATACTGAGCAAGAACCATTGCATTCCTGAACTCGTTCGAATAGCCAACAAAAAACTTCAGCAACGCCTGCTCGTTTCACGAACCGCCCCAACACACTGGACANAGTAGCGGCTACGGTTTAAGAGAACTTATTTAAGAGAAAGTACGGATTTAAGAGAGAGGAATTGGCTTGTACCAATCAAAATCGATTCAAGAGATATTTCCTATTGCAGCTGGGATTTTTCTCTTAAATCGAACAATATGGAAACCACGTGGACACACACACACATCACACACCCACACAGCTGCAGACACCATGCCCTGCGCGGCGGGCAGTCGCTGCACGGCTGTCCCCGATCACACGCCAGGCCCGCCGGCGTTCACAAATCACCAATGTAGAGGAGTCTGCGGGCAGTACCTCCATGGCACCTGTGGTGTGGTGGACCCTCAGGGCACCTCCGAGATGCATCGCATCTGCCACAACTGCCTGTCCTCCCGTTGGTTTCTTGGGTTTGTGTTATTTGTACGGCGAGTGATGTTTTGATATTGTGAAGCTCTTTTTTTTTCGTTGACTTGTGTTTTTGTCGGGGGTTTAAATCGATGGGATGAGAGGTATGAGGGTGTTATGTTGAGGGTACGGTGGGAGGAAGGGGTGCATTGTGTAAACGGGTGCGTCGTTCTTGAGTGCTGGTGCATTCGTTGCCTCGTGTTGTCCTTCTAGAAGAGGTGCGACTATGAAACACAGCTATAAAACAACTCAACCAAAAACCTTTTACGTGTCCACGTGCAAAATGTGCATCGCATCACACAGCGATGATTTATTTTCCGAACGCAGATCCACCAAAAGCGTACCACGTACAGCAGTACTTGGGTCCACGTGCTTGCCAACCAAGAGAATGAGCGGTGTTTGGAGGTAGCCCGACGTGGTAACGCTAGCTGCGCAAGTGACATGCATGATACGCTCTCTTCATGACCTATTTTGGCATTCGAGTGTAGTCAGTGCGCGAGAGTCCCTGTTTCACGACCTTTAGTTTTGTATACGATATAAGAGAATATTCCCTTACAGTGAGATACTGTTTAAGACAATTCTCTCTTATACCATAGCCAACACGATATAACAGAAAGCCGGATTTAAGAGAGTGAAATTGGCTTGTACCGACCCTCTCTTAAACCGTAGCCGCTACTGTAAGCTACATTGCACACTGGGAGAGTAGCGAAGGAAATGGATACTGCCAGGCAAATCCCGAGAGCCAGCCTGAGTGTACACAAATAAATATGTGCATTTTCACGAGGTAGCGGAGAAGAGGAGGGGAACCTACACAAACCAGGGAGGGCGAGACATACATAGCACCACCTCCCGCTCCTACGTACGGCGAAGAAAGTGGGACGAAACTCTGTGCTGCAGCCTGAAACAAGCACTTGACTCACAGGGTCGACGGGGAGCTCGGTTCCCAGCACCCCCAGGGAGGCCGTGCAGCCTCCCCGCGCGGCGTAGGCAAAGTGCCCCTGAAACCACTCCACCCCGGGGGGCAAGCAGAACACCGCCCGGCCATGGACGAGGCCGCCAGAGCCTCGGTGCCCCACAAACCCCTCTTCGCGATGAGCGTCGTCGTCGTTGGATCCTGGTTGCGGAGGAATGCTCGTCGGGTGCCCTGCACCCGGAGGGCGGCAGCCGCCGCTGCTGTTACCGCGATCTTGGGCCAGTGCCGTCGCAGCTCGCCTCCTCGACGACGCCGATATCCATTCGGCGCAGGGGAGCATCGTGGACGACATCAAGGTCGACGGCAGAGTGTGTGTGTGTCAGAGAGAGGGTACCAGGTGCAGGGGCAACAGAGAGTAGCGCAGCAGCACGACAGGCTGTGTGTCGCAATCACGACAGCGTGGGGTGCCCTGCAGATAGGTGTCCGACGGGGCGGGGGGGAAGGAGCGGCGCAACCTCGGCTGACAGCGTAGACAATCACACCGCCTCTTCTTCGGTGTCTCTGCTTCTGTCTCCCGTGACTCTGGAGTGGCGCAGCAGGCAGGGAGGCAAGATGGCTAGCAAGGCAACTACGGATGCCATCCAGCAAGACTGGAAGGAGAGAGAGATGATCGAGGTGGTTCATCTCAATATTCTCAAGGTCAGCTTGTACACCCACGAAAAGCATAGTGATTGCAAGTACATATTTCTGCTGCTGTTGCACCATATTGACATCATCCACCATCTTGTGCAGGGTACTTCATTCATCTGCTACGCTTCCCGCACGGGCCACGTCTGAGATAGAATCCATACTTTTCAGTCCATGGTTGTGGTAAGTGGTGGGTTCCACATGAACTATTTTTGTATGGAAGCACCATGTAGCTGCAAGTTGTGCGCCTATACGGCAAGCACCGGTCCGGCCTGCTCGCCAATGTCGGGTCGAGGTTCATGTTTTGTCGCCACTACGCCACTACTGATGCTGTCCAGCCTACGCTAGGATGAGCCTATTTTTTCTCATCAGATCTTTCTGAGTTTTCGGTGCTGCATATATTAGATGGAGGCTGCAAATCAAATCCGGAACTGCACGAGCAGCGGTAGCGTGCTGCTCATAGGCTACTCTGTAAGTCCCTTGCAAGCAATGAATCCTATTGTTGCTTCTTGTTTTTTCATCGCAGTAGTTCCGCCTACTCCGTATGCCCCACACTCGTATGGTGTAGGGACGCAGGCGGCATCTTCCAACTCTTCTTCAGTGCACTGCTTGTTGAAGCAACATGTGTTTCGCATCCCAACCGATCCGTCTTGGGTGCACTATGCGCTTCAGGCACCTACCTTGCGGTGCCAACAAGCGCGGAATACCGCCGCGGTATCCGCTGTTTATCGTGGGAATGCCAGCCTCCACCACCCATTGCCACCATGTCTCATCTCTCTGTGTCAACGCAATCGAAATGTTGACACTTGCAGGTAAGATAGTACTACGCCGCTTGGTCTTGAGTGCTGGTCTTGAGTACTGCACGTTAAACTAAACCAAAGCGCCTTTTTTTTCTTCTTCAAATTTATTGACTTCGTCACCTTCATTGTCACTGGATGTGGAAGCCAGCAGCTGTAAACCGCCCCCAAAGCCGAGAACAACCTACAGAGTAGTGCAACCGTAGCAGCGTTGATACACGGGCACAACAAGAGGCCCCAGTAAGCGGCCGCCTGGCTGAGAGTTTGGCCTGTTTGTCATGATCCTCTCTAAGTAGACGGGCTTGTCATCAAGCCTTCGTCTTTTTGTTGAACCGACGAGTTCTTCCACATCAGATTCGCAAGGCATGTACAGCAGTCGCGACGTCTATCTACCTTTTTGTTTGGAGCGATCACCAAATCGATCGCTTTGTCGCGCTGTCGATCGCTTTGTCGTGCTGTTGATCGCTTTATCGCCCCAACTGGTCCTCTTTTACCTCCACTGCCCTTCCTTGGCGTGAACGTATGCTCTTATCACAGGACATCATTGAAACCCGGAAGTCCTCAACATCGTATCACCGCGTTCATGTACGGCCCCAAGCCCGGACTGCCTGTCTCGTACGCACGCCACGGTTGTTTCAAGCCGGCGCAGGCTGTATCTATATATCCCCACACTAGGTGCCGCTCGTCCTGTGTACGGTGCTTGGTCACGACCAGCCTCTCCCCCCCCCAAGTGCGTCTCCAAGTCATATCCTGGGCCCCTTGTCCACGCCTCAAGGCCCGAAAGCTTCTGCTCGTCCTGGGTGCGTGGTTACTGACCAGCCTCTTCTCCCTCCAACTCAAACGCCCCAACCTAACTGAGCTCTCTTTCTTTCGTTCTACTGCTGTACCGCCCACGGAACGACAATACCAGATCACGAAGTTCTTAAACGAGTTCGAGGTGTCCGTGCGCTACAAGCTTTCCACGCTGGCGGAGCGGGTTGGATCGTTGGAGCGACATCTCGAGTACTGCGAAACCGCGGTCAAGGACAAGCAACAGCTGCAGCAGTTCGACTCGAGTTCGAGGATCGACGGTGGTCATAGGAGCTGATTTCGATGGGCTTGGCTTGGCTGCCTTTGTGCGTCGGCGCGCGTTTGTGTGCTGGTGGTTCTGTTGTTGACGAGTCTTAGGTTCTACCCTTGACGATTGAGATAAATGTTGCATCAGGAGTTTTGGCCGCCTGGCGCACGAACGGCCCGCCATAGGTTGGCCATTCATTGTTTTCCAAGTCTGCCGTAGTTGATGTTTACATTATGTGTGTGTCGTGCATTGCAGGTTTTGTATTCTAGCGCGTTGTCAAATAGGTTTGGTGTATTCAGTCGCTTGGAAAGCTACTGGCAGTGTTGCAACGAGGTTTAAGAAGCGATGCGTTCTCATCAAGCTGGCTGCATGGTACTCCCGCGGCAAAGATTGAGAAGCACGTCCTCGAAGGTCGTGTGCAGCTCAGGTGCTGAATTTGCACCCGTCCGTGCACCGCGAGCGCTAGTCGTTTGTTGAACGTGGAACTTTGTGAAGATGGATGCTCTCAGCTTCTGTTTCTTTCCTAGCTTCGAGCCTGCGACAACGGTCGTGGGTGTTGTCGCAGTACCCTGCTGGCGTTTTTCTTCTCCTGCCGGATACGAGAACGAGTTGTCAGTATGTTGTCCTCCAGCGGGGGGCTGGGTGAAAAGCCTGAGCTCACCAAACTTTCCCGGTCATAGCGCTGGTTCGATTGGTGTGTAGCACGTGTATGCAGTTGTTGGCGCTTTGTCTCCCTTGCTTTCTTTGCCGAACGCACCAACAACGTCTTTTTTTGGCCGTATTTTAATACATCGACCGGTGATTTGAGCTGGTTGACTGATCATTCCTTCGTGGAGTACTGGCCATGGGGCTGCATCAGGGGGATCTGGTGGACTATGTAATTAACGTCGCTAATCTAGCCTGTGTTGTAAAAGTACCGCTGGCGGTTGACTTTTTCGCCACAAGCAACAACGGCTGCTCCTTTTTTTCGTTATCTGTTGCGCATCGTCTGTTTTGAGCGGTTTGTGGTGTCGACTTTTGAACAGCCTTGGCCTCCTATTATTCCGACCGAGCAAGTTCTTGTGTGTGTGTTTTGTTAGACTCCAATCTTCGCCGTTTTACCCGCTTGTGCATGGCAACAAAAAATGCATTTGTACCAGCCGACGGGATCGGAAAATGTCCATCGCCGCCATCCCCGCTGCCGTCAACAAGAAGAATTGATGTCCATCCGCAAGTAAAGCCGGCGGATAAAAAGATGAGAAAACATTGACTGCGCACACACAGGAAGAGCTTGTCCAAGCAGTTGACACGACAACGCTTGCCCTTCATCTAGCGAATGATCACTACTGGACGACACTCCGTGTTGTAGTGGTAGGTGTAAGGGCTTTCGGTCCAACTCCTGGAGAGAGAAATGGAATAATAATAATATTGCTGTGTGGTGGGCTCGCAGACCTCCTCCTCTACTGCGAAATCCATTCATTTCGCGTCACCCCCTCCAGCCACCAAACACTGGTGGGTCACCAACAGCAGCAGTCCACGCTTGTTCACCTGGCTTCACACTTGCACCTTCCCCTTGTGCTTAGCTTTTGCACAAGAGGTAGAACAACGCCCACACCACGACAAGCGAAGGATTGAGGTGAGGAGATGCTTCATTGAAGGTTTGGGTTGGTTACACGCGATGTTCACAGCAGTACATACGTGTGCATAGCATGTCAACAAGGGTGGGTGATCTCTTCCGACTCTCTAGGCGCTCTGCTCATGTGCAGTTCCGACTCTCCTCCATTGCCTGTGTCAATGCCGCCATGTTGCTGACTCTCGTTCTGGGCGTTGTTAAGCGCGTCCAAAAGTTGACGACAGCGGTGTCGGCGTCAGGTTGAAGACACTCAAAGTTCCTGCGCCAAATTTCAAACGACGTGCGGAACCCCCCCCCGTATTTTCGAGGGTCAGAACATGGAGGGTGAGCAGCAGCAGTGCTGAAGTCAGCCAGCGCTCTGCCCGTCTTTGCGAATAGGCTGCAGCAAGGTAGGAGTTGTTCCACATTGCTGGCTGTGCATATTCACTGCTGGTTAGTGGCATGCTACACTTGCAGTTAACCCAGCTGACGGCCGAAAATCCGGTGGGGGCACGCCGGGTAAGGTTAACCCTTCTATTGGGAAAGCAAAGTCTTGTACCTGGTATGTAGTTGTTAAGTCACTCAGGAGCAAAGCGGGCTTCACCCATGTAAGGTATTCGTTCATCGACGAGGCCTTGCGAAAGAGCAGTCAGGGTCTGCTGGGTCACGCGCGCGGTGGGTGCACGCCAGGGGGGAGGTATCCCCGGCGGGGAAAGTCAGTAGAGAAAGGGGATGGTGACCCACAGGAGCAAGCCGGTTTCACCCACATGTAGATTAGTATAAGTAGGAAACATAGATACAACACAGAAACACTACCCGTTCTAGATAGAAAGATGTTCAGTCATCGACGCGAACGATGAACATATACACGTGGGTGAAGCCGGCTTGCTCCTGGGGGACCATGCCCTCTCTTGACTTTCCTCGTGTGTTACCTACCCTCTGGGGTGCCCCCACCCAGCAGGCCCTGAATTGGTCTTTCGTAGTAGGCTTTGAAGCGTGCAACAACACAACAAGGTTCAGCGGTTTTTCGTTTCGTTGGCCACTTCGTTTTTCCACAGCAGCGCCACACATGTTTTGTGTTCGTTCATCGACGAGACACCTTTAATCCTCGAGCCGGGGGGGAAGGTAGGTTAAGAGAAAGGGCAAGGTCACCCAGAACAAACCCCGCTTCAACCACGTAGGTGTTCGTTCACAGACGAGAAGCCTCGAATAACACCCACACGTCGTTGAAGCTCGGTTTCGTGTGGGCGACCTTAGAAACCCCTTCTATTCACTGCTGTCTGTCCTCACGGTTTACTTCCCTGGTGTGACCCGACCGCGCGCGTGAGACCCAGCAGCCCCTGACGCCTCGTTCGTAAGTATCGAGACGCAACATCACCGGCAAGTGGCAGCCGTTGCGTTTGGTATTCGCGCTTTTCATTTTTTTTCCACGGTACCCCCTTCTGGTACTACTTATCATGCCCCCTTGCCCTTATTCTCAGACCCAGGGGCACCCGGTGAGCAGCTGGAACCACCGCATGGTCATGGACGATATCTCCAACTTGGTTTGATATCACATCAAACTTTTGTAGCATATAGGTCATTGGTTATTTGTAGTTTCATGTTTCGTGACGTCATCTACATAGCGCGCACGTGTAGTGACTGTTCAGTCAGTCAACATGTGGTGTAGATGACGATGCAGCCGAGATCGCGTGATTGGCTTAACGAAAGTTGGGGGTGCAAATTACGCCGGCTGGAACGAACCCATCCGTGTGTGTGCGTATTTGTTTTTTTGCAAAACAGCTTGTGGAGTAGAAAAGCGTTAGTCGTCTTCACGATACGACCGATGTCACGAGATCCGTCGCCGCTGACGCCTTCGGAAAATCTACCTTTCTCTTAGGATCTTGCGCGATGGGGGGGGGGGGGG